ACACACACACACACACACACACACACGGAAAAAACCAGGTGAACATAAATCAGATCAAAGCAAATAAATCAGGTATGTGGAAGTTTACTTATTTCTTGAATAGAGGTGTTTTCTCTCTTGTTGTTTCAGCATTTATCAGGGATAAATGAAATGAAAACAGGTTTAAAACAAACATTTTAAATAAAAATAAACATTTTCACTTTAAAACTTGTTTTCATTCAACTTCATGAGACATTCTGAAAATAACTTTTTCATTTATACTTTTACTTCTTTAAAGTTCGAGACGTCGTACATGTTACAAATTTAAAAATGACAGAACTCATCATGCACTCTAAAAAAATGAAATGTAGAAGTTCAACACATTTCCTCCACTATCAATCAGACACGGGATTGAAACAGTGTCAGTACTTTGGTTGGCCACCAGATGTCGCTGTTACTCCTCAAGACTGAGGCCTCGAAGCTTCAAATCTTTTTCCTGCAGGAGGCTTCATCTGGTCATGTGACCAGTAGCAGCAGGTGGATTTTTCTAGAGGGGCTGCAACTCAAAAATAGACATATCTCAAAAATCAAGCAAGCATGTCCTAAATTGTTTCACACCAGTTTATTTATTAAACTAATGAAAACAATAAAGCAGCATCATGATGGCATAGTGTTTCGTTTTTTTATACATGAATTTTGCCTTTCTTTCAGCTTGGCCTTGTTCAGCATTGGGTAGGCCTCTACGGCGGTCCTCAGTGCCTCTTCRGGGAAGTTGTCCATATAATGTGGGAACTTGTSTGCTGTCAGCAGTGTAGCATCGATCAGGTGCTTTGTGAATGAAAATCTGATTTATATGGTTCAGGACGGAGTCACAAACCTAAAAAATAAACAAATGCACAAGTCTAATTCAATATGGAGAGGGCTATAAGTGAGCTTTCTAATGTATATGTAATATATAGAAAACAGTTGATGTTGTGAACATTATGGGTACAATAATACAGAAAATTCACAATTTGGTTCTAAACTGTCTCACAGTTCAGAATTTTATTGATGCAAAAAAGACAAATTTCCATGCCCTTCTTAACTTGCAATTTATTGAAATTTATTATGAACATTTGTTTAACCTCAAAAGTACAGTTTTTAAATTAAGTGTTGCTGAAACAGCAAGTTTCTCAGTGGATCTGTGCTCCACAATGCAGCCAGGGTGGAGTAGTTAAACACAGATCCACTGATTCTTCAACACAGCATCTTTCAGAAGACAAGCTGATAAAATAAAAAGAAAAAATCTGTATTGTTTGATACATAGTGTGCAATGAACGGTTAACTTTACAGTTTTGAAAGACAGATTGTTTTTTGTCACAAGAGATTTTTTATGGAAAAATGTGTCAAAATATTAAGGATTGTTTGTAGTGTTTGGAAAAAAGAGTGTTTTATAAATGAAATTTGAGTGTAAAACAGGAATTGTGTTTGTAAAGTTTGTGTAGTTTAACAGAACTGGTTAAGGGGGTTGGTGCTTAAGTTACATGTTTTCATTTTATCTCAGAAAATGTAAAAATAATTTAGAAACACTGTAAAATAGACTGGATTAGAAAAAAACAACCTAAAATAGATTAAAATAGAATAGATTAGAACAAATAAACCAAAAAGGTGTGGTTAGAATAATATAGAACATTCTAGAAATAACCAGGTTAGCAAACTGGGCAACATGGATTATTCTAGAATGTTCTAGAATAGATAATTGAGTAGACTAGAATAAACCAGATTAAAAACTAGACTCCAACATGGACTGTACTTTATACAACAATGAATAAGCTAAAATAAATTGAACAGAACATGACAGGGTCTTCTGGAGGGTCTGCAGTTTGGACCTGGATAGTTTCTGTGACTCTTCCTGCATTTTATGGTCCAGGTCAGGTCATTAACTCTTTATTGTCTGATCTTTAATGTTCAGCAGAATCAGAGGGTCTGAAACCCACCAGCTCTTTGTTCTGAGTTGACGTGTGGAGGGTTTGAGCGACACCGAAGTCCTGGATCGGTTCTCATGAGACAGTTTGATGGACTCAGAGTCCTGCAGTCTGTGAGGACGACCTGCTCTCTGAAGATCCTTCATTTCCTTCATGGTGGATTTAGCAGAACTCCAGAGGGTGGGAAGAGTTTAGGAAATCATTTTGAATTCATCCACTGAATAAAAGTTTAAATAATTTTGTCATCTGTAAGTTAAATTAGGACAGTCACTTATTTTACATTGGATTTTTATTTTGTTGGTATTTTTCTGTAGAAGATTGATTAAAGTTTTTTTTTTTGGTCAATAAAAGACCAATTTGAATTGATCATGATTAATTCATGGTAGCAGTAAAACCGTAAAACATAAAAGAATACTTTTATATGGCCTACAAGAGACAAAACTTTGAAGCAGATCTGACAACTTCCTGTTCACACAGCAGTGGGAGGAGGGGTCATAGGCTTCAGTTTGTACACACACACACACACACACACACACACACACACACACACACACACAC